ATATATATATATATATACAATTGTAAGTTATTTATTGAAATTTTATATAACATGAAAATGAAAATAATTTAAATAAAAAATATATTTTGTTTTTTATTTCTATAAATTAATTTTAAATTAAAATTCATTTTTATTTTTAATTAAACTAAAAGTTGAAAAATTTCTGCAATAACATCATATGATATAGCAAATAAGTTCAATAATAACAAGTATAACTACACATTGTTTTATACACATGTTTACTTTGATTAGAGATATTAAAATCCTATGATATTTATTATTATAGAATTCATTTACCATTGTTTGATATATATCACAGATAATAGTCTTTATAAAATAAGAATATTTATATATTCTCATTATAAAACAAAAGCTTGAATAAAATAGGAAGAATAAATTAAAATTCTATTTATATCCATTTTAAAACCATAAATCAAACCAATTTTCATTATATTCAACTGTAAATGAATCTTCTGATTTTATATGTGAATGATCAATAATCCATTGTCTAAGATTTTTACGTATTTCTTCTGGTAATAAACCTGTAACATCGACTGAAAGACGTGTTTTTCCTTTCCAAAGAGAAATAATTTTCAATACAAAATCATCAATATGAACTTTTGGATCTTTTAAAGTTATAACAAGATGACGAAGAGAACTAAATATTTGTGATACACGTTGTAATAGATCAGAGTCAATATCAATCCAATCCATAATATTAAGACGAATAATTCGAGTTTTTAATAGATAACATGTAGATTCATTGTCGAATAATGTTTTAAGACAATCAAAATAAATAATTAAATAGTCAAGATTTGGTGCAGCATTAAGTAAAGGATATAATTCAAATATTCCAGATGTTTCAATCTGTTTAAGAAAAGGTAATTTTAAATTGATTGATTGTGATTCTTTTGGTAAAATTACTAGACAAAGAAATAAATAAATTTTTAATACAAATTATTTTACATTATTTTTATAAAAATAAAATATAATGTAAAAAATATATCAATGAAGAAAATAAATGAAAATACTTACAAATTTCTGATTTATCTTTTGCATCAATAGTAAGTGTTCGAAGTCGACGAAAATGTTGTAATATGAGAAGTATTTCAAGCATCGATGTTATATCATAGATGTATAAATCTTTGATTTGTTGCATATATATCCAACCTGATAACATTTGTTTACTTATTGTTGCTGTTAAAATAGCTGAATTTACATCATATGGAATCGTATGAATTAGAAAGCGATGTCGTGGTTCATCTAATAAACAAGCGATAGGAATACGAGATGATGAAAAACCATTTGCTATTTTAACATCTGGATTTGATTTAGAAAAATAATAACGAATGAAAAAATCAATTTTAATTAATGATGAAGGTAGAATTGTCATAAAATCTTTTTCATTGACTAGACGCTTGTCATCTGTACGTAGATCAAGTGCAAGTTGTTGTAATGAAGGCATGGCTTTGAGTAAATAATCTATTTCATTGAATGTCCAAAAATAATTTATTGAACGTAATTGAAAATTGATTAGATGAATAAGACATGATAAACTATTATTTATTAGTTTTGATTTTGAACCATTTGACAATTCATCAATATTTATATGTAAACGACGTACATTAGGCACAAGTACAAATAGACATGGAATTAATTTACATAATGTTAGATTTATAGTAAGCTCTCGAATATTTGGATAAGATATTCCATTTATATCTTTAGGTATATCTAAATCAATTGAATCTTGATCAATTGATACTATCGTAAGTTGACTATTATTAGCAGAAAGAACTTTTGTCAAAAGTGAATCTATGATATTTCCTCTAAGAAATCGAATATCTAATTCAATAAGTTTTGAAAAATTTTGAATATTATCAATAAATAATAAAAATCTTTCACTAGTAAACCATTTAACTATTAATTTTTCAAGTTGTGGAAATAATAAAGATAGAGGTGAAATAAAAAGAAAAGAAGATAAGTTTTTATTTATGATAGTTTCCCAATTACCATTAAGTACAAATGTACGAACAAACGAACCAATTTTAGGTAGAACATAAGAAACAGCATATTCAAATTGTTTATATGAGACAGCCATTAAATTAACATAACGACAATAACCTGTTATTGTTGTATTAAGACGTGTATTAAGATTATAAAATGAATAGAGAACATCAGCTTCACGAAGATATTGAAATATAGATAAAAGAATTTCATCGGGTAACATTTCAAAAGAAGTTGAAACAAACATCTAGAACAATTATTTATCATTATTACAAACAAAAAAAATGAAGGATTTCATTTGAAATAATTTTTGTTCATTATAGATGAAACAATTATTATATCACAAATATGAAATAAAAGAAAATATTTTTCTTGTGTTAATATAAGAATGCGTAATCATCAATTTGATTGCCCATATGTACATATAATGTATTAGCAATAAAAATAAAGGATAATTAAAATTGAGTCATATTGATAGAACTTGATTAAATATATCATCGCATTGGAATATTGATAAGCCTATGAATAAATTTTCGTAGCTGTCGCTCTGTACTTATCATCTAATACAATAAGAAAAAAGGTTCAAAAAAAAAAAAAAAAACTTTATTCTCTAAAATTTTCATCGCATCATCATAGTTATAAAATAAACAAATGAAAGATTCATTTGTTTTTTCAATACTAATTTTATGACAGTATCTTCTAATAATCTATATCATCTCGTTTTAATTTATCTAAAAAATGTTCTTGTATTTATTTATATTTGAAATTTAATTAACAATAAATAAAATATGTTAACGTAATTGAATTTTTCTACATTATCCATTATTCTAAATCATCAGAATTCTGTGAATATCAAAAATTAGAAAAAAATTAAAGAAAAATTTCACAAGTAATCACAATTAAAAATAATTCTCGTTAAAGTGAATAATGCGTTTACTTTATTCAATCTTCTTTCTGAAGAATTCAACGAATACTTGTATTTTTATATCTTTCAACGTCCGATATCATTAGTTAACAGCTGTAATAATATTTAGTTCATTCTTAAAATCATAGCACTAATTGATATTCTTATTATATGAATAAATAACAGTAATGATAGATCTATAGATGTAAGCAGATTGTACACGTGGCAAGATCTTCGTATCACTATCTAATATCGATTTTTAATATTTAAAATAATATTCGATATGACTGAATAGTTTTCGATAATAATTAAAATATCGTTTCTTATAAACGATTATATCATAACTAGTCCTGAATCTTTATAAGATAATATGTTTGTTGTTTTTTATCTAATATTTTGTGTTTTATAATTTTTCACAGTAAAAGATCATAGTTTCTATGATGTTTCAAATCTAATTATTCTTGCTATACTTCATACATTCTAGACAGCATAGTATTGAGAGAAAAAAATAGGGAAGAAGGTGAACATGTTTGAAACTTGAACAAATCGGAACTGAAAAATCCGATAAGCAGAGCATCAGTTGTCCGAGTATCATCAGTATAAAAATTATCAAATATTCGGTTACTCTTTGATTATAAGATTTTTCAGGGAGAAAATTAATGTTTGGAGATCTTAGTTCATCTATTAAAACAAACGTTTTCAATTAAAGTTGTTAAATACATCATCAGAAATGAAGAGGATGGGTATGGGTGTTAGTTGAGATAAAATGAAGAAACACTAGCACTCACATCCACACTTGCTGGTCACAGGGCAAATTTTTCCATTCTGTCCTGTACCCAGCTCTGGCAGGAATTGTACCCATATTGTTTCATCAATAAAAAACAATAAAATATTCATATAGCAGCTTCACACAATTATTTTCCTTATAAAAATTTAGTCTAGAATAATTTATCAGTATTAATTTTGTTGAGAACAATACAGCGAACGTATTAAGAAAACACTAAGAATTCTAATTATATCTATTGCTATTACCTATAATCAATCGAATCCATATATTTTGAATAAAAAATTTTCATCATTAGTGTTTTATCTTGAGTGACGACCAAGAAGATGGTATTTGTCAAAAAATCGAGCTGACCCTCCAGAAGTTTGTGGTTATTGTACCATGTTCTGTTAATCTGTGCTTCGAAAAATAGATGTTCGCGCTCTCCAGGACTTTTAAATTGTCATTCCGGAAGAGAAAACTTGCATAAAACGTTGTTTATCAGATTCATTATTTTTCACATCTGTTGAATTTCTAGTAGAAAAAATCGACATCTCTCGAGTTTGACATCAACATTCTCATTCATGTTGAATATGAGCTAGGACAAACTAACATTTATTCTTCTTCCATTTTATGTTATACTTGGTATTGTCTATTTGTTAGTAAGATCACAATGTACAAGTTCTATTGAAAGAATATTTATAGTTTTATCTTCGATAGACATATATGCAATAACTTCATTAAAACATGTATTATTTGTGTTTAGTTAGCAATCGATTGCTATTCAATATGCTTCTGGTGTCTTATTATTACTATTCATAAATCTATTATGAATACTATTGTTGCCAGACAATGTATCATGACAGATGTCTATTCGTTAATATTTGTGATCTATCAAATGTTCATAGTTAATATTCTGTTGTCTTATATAGTTGATAGTGTACTGCATTGTGATTGACTATTTTCGAGTTTTAAGTGTATAGAATAAAATCACGTTTTGTTTTCGAACTATATAGATTTCGTTCAGTTTTGTTGCTATTATAAATCTAGTTATCAAACTTGAAGTTACCATGCTACATAAATGAAAATATCATTTAATAATCCTCGTGATTAGGCTATTATGAAAAGATTTTTCTCTGCAACGCTATATAGTAACCTTACTATTAATGAATCATTATATAGTTGAACAAAATCCATATGGTTCGAAAAAAACCCATGAACTTATTATACGTACTTAGAATTTAAAAATAGTTAATCACGATAAAGAATACTAATATTCGAATATGAAAAAAATGAAAAGTTTCTGTCCGACATGATGAAATAATACATCGAACAAAACACTGACAATTGGTTAGTATGGAAATAATTCAAAATTATTGTTTATATCATATCAACTGAACTTGTTCCAATGACGATATTCTACATAGAATTAACAGCAAATGTAATAGGTAAAAGTCAAAATAGAAAAAATGATTAAATCATTCCTTTCATTTATTGCATTTAATTTTCTTTTATATTTCAATAGATGGACTACATTGTTTTTATCTATTATTGTAATCATTTTCCAACTGTTCTTGTTCGTCTATTTAAAAAGAATAACTGTATTCAACTAATTAATATTACTTTTAATAATAATACATTAGCTTTATATAGAAAATACTAATTATTTTAAAAAATAAGCTTCTCTTGTAGACCAGCGACCAGAAAACAATTGGTGGCAATTGTCATACCTGGAAATTTGATTGTGGTCCGCCAATGATCTCTCTAATAGTAGAATATATGTTATGTTTGACTAGTAGCTGATACTCAACATTTTTTAATTCATTTATTTTGAGGCAAAAAGAAGATTTCATCTCATTCTCTCGAACTCATTCACACAAATGATAATCTATAAATAATGATCTCTCGATGGTATGTTTAGTTAACATCAAGATAAAATGACATGATTCCAGTGCTAGGATTTCCTACATGATTTAACATAAATGAGATTGTATATGTATTTCCAATTGTAGCCATAAAAGATTGACTTAGAAAAGAGATAGAAGAATTGCTTGTATTACAATAAACCATGAAACAATTTCCAGATAATCCAGAACATTCAAGACCAGAAACTATTTGACTTGCACATGTTGTTTCACATGATGTAACCCAACCAAGTATATTCATTGTTGAATTTTCAAAACTAGGATTGGTTAATAATTCAATCGAAGATATATTATTGTCTACAACAGATACAGTATCCAAATAAAATCTATGCATATTATCAGTTTCAAAACCAAATAAAAGTGTTGGTGTTGTTTTTATAGCTGAATAGTTGTAAGAATATGATATCCATCCGGATGGACTTGATCTATTTAAAATTGCAATTAATCCATGATCAGTACTTGAGCATATCATGGCTATGATAAAAAGAAAAAGAGATAATTTGTTCATTTATCAACTAAAATTATTTCGGAATACATTTTATCGAACAAAATTTTTACATAAGATTTTTTAATTTTATTTATTTTAGCTTAAAACGTTTCTGAAAAGAACCTTTAAAAAGTATCTACTAATTGAATACTCTCTTCAGAATGAGATATCTTTGTTTTGTTGAATATTAGTTAAAGAATAAAACAAATATAAAACTGATCGTATTATGTCATTTGTATTTTTAATACATACATGTAGATATTTCTGATTTCACTATTGCCGATTCTAAAAAAGTAACATGATTTTATCATAGATAAGATCATTTCAATTCTAATTACTTTGAGTGGCTGTATCATTGGGTGTCGAAGCTAGAAGAATTCATTAAAATATATGTATTAATGGAAAAAATCTTATAAAAAAAAAAAGATCTAATTATCATATTTTTAATCATGTTTGTTGTTTTTTCTATTAGCATGATCCTTATTATATCTTGTACCCTTGAAAACGACAATGTTGACACAATCATCACTATTATAGCTTTCAAATATGACATGCAAGAAAATAAATCAAGTATTTAAAAATATACATACGTAGAATTATACCCAGAACAATAGCAACAATCGCAATTATGAGAATAAAACAAAAAATAGCTGCAAAAATCAAAAACCAAGGTCGTCGAAAGAAGCTTTTTTGTCTAGAAAATAAAAAAAAAGCGAATATTAATATTATTTTATTGATAAAAATTTTATTATTATGAAATATTTAATTTACTGTTCATTATTCCTAAGATCTCTTGGCAATCCTGCATTTGAACTTATTGAATTATGAATTTCTGGTGCAACTTGATTTTGACCTCTAGTTGCCCATTTGTTTGCTGACTAAAACAATACGACAAAAATAGAAAACTTTAAGAAAAAATTCCTACTGTCGTAGATGGATAATTAAAATCATTAGCGATTTGAGTTGCTTGAATTTCTCTTAGACTCATACGCCGAATTTTAGGTAGTTTTGGTACACGCGAAATGTTTGATACACGCATTGTTTTTTTCACGTTATTTTCCTCTTAAGTCAAACAATCAACTGTTGTCGATATATTATTGATGTCTAATATGATTTGATTTTTATACTTGCACAACTTTGTTTGATTTTAATCAAACCTAAGAAAGCAACGCAATTCAATGAAAAACAAATCTTCTTTATTTTCGTTGTTTATTTAATCATCGAGTGTAATGAAAAAAAAAGAAAAGAAATCATCGAACTTATTATAATATGTCATGTAAAATGCATTGGAATTCTAAAATAAAATTAATAAAATCATTAGCTTTTCAATTTTTAAAAATTTTAATCAATAGATTTCGAGTTTAATATCTTTATCTATATGTTATTTGCATTTATATTCATCATGGTTATTTTGTATAAGAATATATTTTTCAATGATTTATTTTTTGTATTAAAATTTTTGACTAAAAATTATAAAAATATTTTAGTGAGATTTGTTTCTTTTTTTTTCTTTCATTTCATCGGTCTTCATTATGACAAAACAATATTCAATAATTTCTTATTGTTTTTCGTATGGTCTTTGAAGAAATTGTTCATTTTTTTCTGTTTTATTTGCACAAGGTGGGTATGGATCACCTCGACAAGCAAATAATATTTCCATTGTTGCACCAAAATCTCTAGGATGATGAAAACACCATGTTCCATCTTGTCTAGGTGGTGAACACCATAGAAGAGAATCTCGAATATGTACTTCAAATTGTGATGAAGGTGCTGGTAAATCAATAGGAATTGATTCTAAAGTAAAATTTAATATTCCATTAACATCTTCGTATGTTTTCTCAGATGAATATGGAAGAGTTGTAATTGGTAAAGAACGAATTTTTTCAAGAAGAAGAAATTCAGGTAAACGAATACGTTCTTCTGACCAATAGAGTAAAAATTTTTTAATATCAAGTTGATATGTTATTGGAATAGTAGTTAAATTCGATGAAAAAGCAGGAAAAATAAATGTTCGATTTTGTAATTTTGTATGTTGAAGAATAAGAAGAGAACGAATAAGAAGATTTCGAAGATTAATTGACATATTTCTATTAAATAAAAAATAAAACTTAACTAAACAATATAATTCTCATTTATTTTTCTTACATATTTTCTATTGTAACTGTAAAAAATTTTGGTTTTATTTCACCATAAAATTTTTTTGATCTTATTCCATATTTAGCTGCTTGATTAAACAACACAAAAGCACTACCATCTGTCATCAAATGTGAATAATGATTTCCAAAATCATGTGTTGTCCAATTGAATAGTAAAGATGATATTGGTTTCATTGCTTTTAAATAAGTTTTATCTAATCGATCATAATTATTAAGTAAAGCATCAAGTACACGTTGATCAGAAAGAAAACCACTTTTACCATAACGTATCCAAAATTCAGCAATATAAGAAAAAAATAATATTGATGCATTTGTTGATTGAACAAAAAATAAACCAATATTAACACGTGGATGAGATCCGTAATGATGACTTATTTGTAAATCATAAATATCTAATGGTTGTTTTAAATAATCAAGTAGATTCTTTCTCCTACAATAATAATAATCATAATAATATAATAGATTTTTATAAAACATAATTATTTCATAAGTATGGAATTTATAATTGAACAAGATTTTATTATTTCTCATAGATAGAAATATCTATAATGATCTGTAAGGATTTGGCATGTTAGAAATAGTTTTTGACTAAATGAAAAACAATTCTTATAATTATTCAACTATGGAACCATGAAAATTTTTCTTCAAGTATAAATCTGAATCAGGAGAATTCCACAACAAAATACCAGCAGCAAAAGTTAGAGGTTATCGTTCAGTTACGTCCTGAGACTTAAATTTCGGCTTGGTTTTTAATATATCTTATAGTGCATCAGATTATCATAGTAATTGATGCTGCGTAAGAAAACATCAAAGTTCTTTATCATTGTGATGTGTTTGAGTGCATATATAATAAGACTAAACTTTAAAATATCTGGTATTTATCTTTAAGTCTTACAATCAAACAAGTTACCAATTCCGTATCTAAATCTGAATATGATCTTACAATAGAGATTCATAAGAAATCAACTTTATCCTGTTTTACTTGTTTATAAATATACATTTTCTACAACCGTAAGAATACGAAGCATAAATATATAAGAGGACATATGAAAAGATATTTTAGTCATTTCACTCGGCTTACTCCCTTTAGTTTCTTAAGTACTTTAGTGATTAAAAGGAACTAAAAGGAACAGAACATGTCAATATCATAAAAACTTGAAGAGAATCAAGTAAAACGAGTTAAATTTAATTTCTTATGAAATCCTTATAAAGAAATAAAACACTAGAATGATCATAAAATAGTTGGTTATATTTAAGAATATATAATCTAATTTTAAAGAAAACTATTTTTAATGTTCTTGATAAATTGATTAGAAAAAATATTCTCGAATTATTATAATATTCCGACTTGACTTTCAATTCCATGATCAATAATGACAAACAAACGAAAACATATATTGAATGAAAGTATTTCATTTACTCAAGTTTTTCATCATGCCAAATAATGTCTTTATTTTAGTTAGGAGAACTATTACAAATTTTCGACTTAAATTCTACTCAAAAAGTGAAATCCTTGTCGAATACTAATTCATTTCACAGTAATATATTAACAATGTAATTAATAACTAACAAATTGAAAAAGATTCTGTTGATAACGGATAGGCTCTAAAGAATATATCTCTCAGTATTCTTTATGATCTATCTGTTAGATTTCTTATTTAAATTAAACATTGAATATTATCTTACCAGAAAACATCCATTTCACTAATTATAACAGAATATCCCATTTGAACAATTTTAGCTGGCGTATCAAATTTTGCATGACCAACACGATAAAGTGAATGTTGTCGTACTTCAATAGTATTAATCCATTGCATTTGATGATTAAATGAAAATGTTGAATAATAAACTGGTACATTTTGTTTTAAAGCTAAAATAACAGCAATTTCATCCATAGCAATAACAAAACAATGACAATTATTTGTATCATTAGATATTTCTAACATTCTTTCATACCAATCCCAAGCAAATAATGAATAACTATCACCACCAATTATTGTTACAATAACTTGACCAAGTGAATTTGATTGTTTACGAAGAAGTGAACGAAGATAATCATCACTTGAATATTTAACAAATAGATTTTCATTTTTTGTTGATTTTTCTTCAGTTGTGATTGTTGAATCTATTAGTTATATTTAAAAAATAAAAGATCTATTTTTTCCAAGGAGAAATAAACTAATTTCTATGATAGAAATTATCAAAAATTATTATAACGCCTTAAGGATATAAATAATGACTGATCGTGGTTTAAAATTATCGAAAGCCATTAGAAATCAATGAAAATGACTGTACACCATAGAAAATCTTCATTAATAGGATTAAAAGTAAAGTCCTGGTTTCTAATGATTTTTATTGACTTTCTTAATTTTCAATAATTACCAATATTCTTAGTGGTTACATTTAATCTCTAATGATTTCTCTGGATTTTCCTTCATCTTTAAGCATTTTCGATGATTCATGGTGAACAGACAAAAAAAATGAGTTTTAGTGATAGAAATAACCAGAAATCAGGAAATAAGTTTGTTCCTTCTTTGTCTTTTCTTAACGAATATAATGATAAAACATAATTTTCTTTTTATGATAAAAAGAGATACTAAATGCGAGAAGAATTGACATTTGTTACTTTTAAAACCAAAGGATATAAGATAACAATTTATTACTATTTCACATATAATAAAATTTCGTTTACAACATATTTCTAAATTTCTCTCGAGATATAGGAACTAAATATATTGATTATTCGATTAAACAATACCACCATCTTTTGTAGATCTAAACTCATAATAATTCAAAGTTTTGATTCTTTCCAATGAAATTTTATAGATTAATTTCATAATACAAAAAAAAAACAAAAAGCCAATTATATTGTACCTTTAGTAGCAATTTTTTCAATGTTTAAGGTTGTAGAAATTAAGGGTGATATTTTGGCAGTAACAGGCTGAATCATTTGAGTTAATTGTTGTCGACTTTTTTCTTTTTGATATAAATGAAAACTAATAAAAGTCATACAAACTGTAATGATCATCAAGATCATTGTTAAACACGATCGATTTGCAGTTCGCATTGTTCTTATAATGAATATCACTAATGATTTTCACCTAAGTGCACATTGATATAGTTTGTAAATAACATAATGGAATTATTTTTATTGAAAATCAAAAAAAAACAAAACCCTGTGTACATGCACAAATTCATAGTATTTCAAATGTGTTGTTACGAAAAGAAAAAGAAAAGAAAATAGGTAACGATGGTTGAATAAACTGTCACACTGTCCTTTTTTTTTTTACTAAAATGAAAGGAGTAAGAGAACAGAATCTGTGTTAAATAAAACAAAATTGAAGTAAAAATTTTAACTCTTTTTCTTTTTCTTCTTCTTTTTACTCAACAAATTTTTACTTGTCTGTTTTGTTCATTCAATTTTATCGAACTTGTAAACAATATATTTTATTGTATCTTCTCAATTAATTCTAATATATAATTGAACTAAATATAAACAACAAAAATATGAACAAGTTCTTTTATTTTTAATAAAGATATAGGCATATTTAATTCTATATGTCCAACATATGACTATTTTGTTTTTTTTTCTTTAAAATAAAATACACTTGTGTTCATTATTCTAATGCTGAGAGGCAAGCAAAATCACTATGTTGCTTATTCTTTATTTGGCTTCATGCTGAAAGAAAAAGTATTAAACAATGAAGACAACTAGTTTTTTTCTAATTTAAGAGTATCGTTATACCTACTCATTTCTTACATGATATAGAAGAAACAAAAAGGTGATCAGATTTTATCATAGATTATTAACATTTCTTAGATTATTATACTCATTGTTATCGTACTAGTTTGATAATCAACTGTGTTGACAAATCTGAAATTC